CCATAAAAAATTGTCATTTCTAAAAATTCCTTCGAATTCTTAACTTTCTACGCCTGATTTGCAAAAAACTCTCTACGCCTGATTTACACCACTTGTTGAATATATTGTTGCACAGTACTTCAGAACTCTTTAAATTTTAGTAAGGAGTAAAGAAAGAGGCTTAGTAGAACATTTTTGAACCCTCTAGAAATCTTTGGATTTGAATCTAAGGATTTTTTAAATGAAGTTTTGGAATCCAATAAAGATATAGTAGTTAAAATTCATTTTGGTTGTTGGGAATATTAAAAAGAATCAAGACATATGATTTGGAAGAGTTTCTTCCATAGAAAGTGAGTCATGGGTATATATTTGATAACCACTTGTAGAATTAAATCACAGATCCTCTAAAATACAATTTAAATAATGACCCCTATAAACAAAGACAATGTTGCTACTTACTTTGTCAGCAGGGACCAGTACATACTTTTCATGTAATCTGTCTAATTCTTTTGTCATAGCTGAATTTTCATATGTCGAATGTGACTGTTCGATAAGGAATCCTTCTCTTTAGCTTCTGATCCCATCTGAGGATTATCATAGGGACTGTATTTTATTTTCTGATTACAGAGTCGTATTGTTTAAAGTCATTTTTTTTAGTTTCTACACACTTAATTGAATGTGCTTTTCCAAATTTTACCGGATCATGATACGGAGCACAAGTCGGGTGTGACCCGTTGACAGGGGATGCTTACTAATCCCATGGTACCTGTCCATGTTATATTGGTCCGTGTTTGCTCTGCTTCTAATCTGCATTGATTATATGTACTTTTAAACGTGAATTATGTTCATTATTTCCATATCTTTCATCTATAAACATTCCAATTGTTATTACTCAAAGTTTTATTTATTTAAGTCTTATTATAAAATATTATTGTGACGTCCATTAAAATTAATCCATTTATTGATATGCTTGGGTGTTATGCAGAAATTTGATTCTAGATAAATCAGATTATTATAACTAATATACAGTTTGCAGCAAACGAAGAAAAGAAAAATAAAACGATAAAGGCAAGGCGGAGCATATGATACATATATTAACAACTTAACAAATTAGCAGTGGCGGATTTAAGGGGGGGCGCACCCGGCGCGCGCCCCCCCTAAAATTGTCAAAGTTAGCGTAAATCAAATATGTCTACTTGGTAGACCTCATTTTCACCCTTCAAAATCTCTAGAATCCAGGAGCTTGGGGGGATTCGCCCCCTGGACCCCCACCAGGGCTTTGGTAGACCTGAAATTTTTACCCTTCAAAATCTCTAGAATCCAGGATTCATAATATGTGTATAAATAAGGGTTTTGCCATTTAATATGGGGCCTAAGGCGGATACCCCTTGCCTAATTTTACAAAGTTATAAACTCCAAATCCTGGATCCGCGCCTGATTAGCATATCCGAAAGCCAAAATATCCAGAATCATTGTTTTTTTTTAATTTGTATAAAGACGCATATGAATTAAATTTACTCATTCATATTTATTAAATGCCTGAAACCTGTCTTTGTTCTAAAATTAGACGAAAAACGCCTTTTTTAATCATAAAATTGCACAATAGATAATGATTTAGTGGAAAGACATTTTGTCTACTTTCGTTTTCCATTTCGTGATAAAGAAGGGGAGGGAAGGGTATGTATAAATATTAAAAATACTTTAATATTCCCGCATTTATGTTGTTCTCCAGATTGAAAATGTCAATTGTTAGCTATAGTTGGTTTAAAATTCCCAAATTTTCATTGAATATCAGTAAATTATCCAATAAATGCAATGCACCACTTCAAGAAGGATATGGAGATAACGAAAACTATTCAATGTCAAAGTCCATAAAACAATACAAAATAGGAGCAGAGCAAACACGGACCTCCGAAACATCAGAGGTGGGATCAGGTGCCATGGAGGAGTGAGCACCCCCTGCTGACCGACCACACCGGTCATGATCGGGAAATAACGGGAAAACCCGTCGTCAATTCAGTGTATAAATAATGCACTAACAATTAGTATGAAAAACGTCAGTCAGCATTTGACTCAATGATAAATTGTATTTGCTGTCAAGGTCATTGTATCGACCATATAATTTATGAAATGATCACTTTAAGCGAGACTGCTGATATCCTTGTTTCATTAACTTTTTTGTAAATAATTTACCTCCTTCATGTGAATGCTCTTGCGTGTCGAATCAACTGAGATATATACACTCCGTATGCAGGTGATGAAGGTATATTGCTGCATAATTAAGGGAAGTTGAAGATAGAAAAGTTAAAGTCATAAGGTTTATCATATGTCTTGGTTGTTAGATTACCATTAAAGTCTTTTTCAAGTAAAATATCGAAGTATGAAACAGATGTGTCAGACTCTGTGGTATCTTTTATCTCAAGCTCACCAGGATATATCGTATCGACGTAGGAAAGGAAATGACCATGTTAATTGACAATACGTCATCGATACACTAAATGTCGAGTTGAAGGCCACAGCAAGTGTTTTCTTCTTTTCATGCATAAGATTTTGCACAAATATTGCTTTATATGAATATAAAAATAGGTCAGTGTTTCTTGTTACAAGTGTTATAATTGGCTAAAAACTCGTGTTGACCTTGAAAATATTTGAAAAGTACACAATAGATAACGTCAGTCTAAAAAGAAATCAAATACGTTTAGATATTTTATTTTATTGCATCATTCCTCGAATACACAGGCAAAAATCACATAAATTTCATGTGAATTCACACGAATAACAAATCAGGTGAAATTTATGAGAAACTATTTCATGCAATTTTGATGGTGGAATATTTCTGCTCTCTACATGCAAGATATATTATGCCATTATGCAAGAAGAAATATGCCAACATGTATACGAGAAGGATATGGAGATAACGAACAGTATTCAATCTCAAAGTCCATAAAACAATACAAAATAAGAGCAGAGCAAACACGGACCTCCGAAACATCAGAAGTGGGATCAGGTGCCATGGAGGAGTGAGCATTCCCTGCTGACCAGTAACGCCCGCCGTGTGCTCCTTGTCATGATCAGGAAATAACGGAAAAATCTGTCGTCAATTCTGTGTATAAATAATGGACTAACAATTGGTATGAAAAACGTCAGTCAACATTTGACTCAATGATAAATTGTATTTGCTGACAAGGTCATTGTATCGACCATAGAACTTACGAAATGATGACTTTAAACGAGACTGCTGATATTCTTGTTTCATCAACTTGCTTGTCAATAATTTACCTCGTTTTAGAAATTGTTCATACGTAGAACATGCTCTTGCGATAATTAAGTCTATATGCAAGAAAATCATAAAATGCAAGGGAGAATTCAATTTTGAATTGTTGAATGTTGTTACTAGCGCCAGTATCTTACATATAAGATGCAACATTATTATGTTATCACATGAATTCCGTATGTTAACATGCAACATAATTACGGAGGCATGCTTCTTAAAGATACTTCTTTTAACATTCAACTTATTTATGCCAACATGCGACTTATTTATGTCAATGATTGAGTTTTTTTAAACAAGTAAGAAATTTATGTCAATTAACAAGCATGGTGATAATTTGCATGTCAACATACATAGCTCGTATGTTGTCATAATAAAAAACTCGCATGTGTCTACAAATATCTTGCATTTTGACATAATAAGTTGCACGACTACATAATTATATTGTATGTAGACATGAATAAGTCGCATGTCAACATAATCCTGTTGTAGCTTCCTTGTACGAAATGTCATATGGTGTTTGTATGTACTAAGTTACCAGCATTAAAATTGAATTATCTAAACAGATTGATAACAGAATATTTACATTTAAAAATAATTATTTTGCATATATAGTGACATAAATAAGTCGCATGTTTTCACAATTATGTGGCATGTAAACATAATTTATCTTACATTGTGGGGGGGGGGATATGTGACCATTCCATTATTTGAATTTTGACAATACTTTCATTTATAGGATTTTACGTGCACAACAGATATAAAGCATGGATATTGCGCAAAAAAATTAATTCACGAGAGTATGAAAAAAGTTTTAAAGAAATGACACGAAATCTCATATGATATTCGCGTGAAAAATATATAATTAAAATCACATGAATATCACCTGAACCACCTTTCCCTGTGTTAACATATGAAAATACTGGATTAAATAGTACGTATACTCTTTAAAGATACAAGATACAGCAGAATAAAGTTAATATATACGTTGCATGTTTTTTTTTTTTCTAATTTTATTAGTCTTCGTGCATTTGTGGTTGTGGCAGTTCATTTAAAAAAATCATATAAACATGATAAACATGTCTAGAAGTAGAATACCACGTAAAGAGATGGGAATTCCCATTTCTATTTATAAATTTTCCTCATAACACACATGAAATGGTTGTCAGAGGTCATATCAATGGTATGTTAAATTTCTATTTTTATCTATAGTTAATACAACTCTACTCTGTTGTTAATTTATTATTAGTGATTAAAATTTAAGGTACACTACTCTGTTGTTAATTTATTATTAGTGATTAAAATTTAAGGTTTAAATTCTGAAGGTAAGAGGTGACTGAAAGTTAACAAGATAACATAATTGATAATTTTCCCTAAACAATACATACCTACGTTAAGTTGAACTTGTATATTTATATATAAAAATTGGGTTGATTTATTTTTTCTTCAAAATTTTCATTAGCCTTCAAATAAAGTAAGTTAATTTATTTAAGTTATATTCTATTTGTCTTATGAAAGGTCAAAATATATTTTTACTTCCTGATAGGTTAGGCCAAAAAAAACCCCAATGTTTATACAGCTCGATGAACATTCAATAATTGAACATTCCAAAACAGTACGTTGCCATATAAATTGTATAGTGTCTTTGAACAGGGATATCATGTACCGATAGATCATGCAAATAGCGGAACCGCTTCAATGGATTATTACTTATAGTGTATATGATTCCCTTTAAATTCTCTCATTGCAGGTTTGTCTCATTTCGACATGAGTACCGGGGATGGGCGTTAAGTTGGAGGAGAGTCCACAGATCAAGATTTCTCGGATAACGACTCGGTTCACGGACAAAACCTACGCTCGGAATTCCCTCATCCTGGGAATGTCAAACTTCGTTGACGATATTCGCCTGATGAAAAGTGATCAACGTCATTTTATCGTTGACTGTGTCATTGTCATCGACGACGACATTTAAACGTTGAATTTAAGTGACATAAACTTTTTAAAAGAGTTAGTTTGACCTCCTCCCCCCGTATATCTATCTAGTAAATCATTAACATTAATCTGATTCTCACACAAAGTTAGCAAAACCTGAAATTAATATACCTTTCTGTCAATTAAAACAACAACTCATAAACCGCCAACAACATCAGCAAAACTCAAGATTCTGAAATGGTTACTCCCCAGGAGCTAATGTATTGGAATGAGACTGACAATCGTAGAGGGAGGGACGAATTTGGGTCTGGGTTTCTTGGGGACCAACTGACAAATAACCCATGTGTCAATGAAATACCGATTGCAGCGGCAGTCGGTGACAACTTTTCAGATCAAATTCAGTCACGTGACATGGGCAGAGATGTAGCTAAAGAGTATGGTATCAACATCAGTAAGCCAAAATACCAACAGTTTGCAATCAAAGATGTTCGTCTGAAAACTTTCCAGACCTGGCCAATGAGCTGCAACCAAAGACCTGAAGATCTAGCAGAGGCCGGGTTCTTTTATTCGGGTGACAAGCTATTTATGATTAATTACAAATCTTTTGATATGCTTTTAAAACATTATTAATAAAGAAAAGCAATATTGGTACATTCTTAAATAAAATACAAGCCACTGTCCAGAATAAACACTGATTTCACGGAATTACTCTTTTTTTTCGAATAATGATATTGGTGAATATAAACCTAATTATAATGTATATTTTTGTAGGAAATTCGGACGCCGTGTTCTGTTTTGATTGTGGACAAGGTCTCAAAGACTGGGAGGACGAGGACACACCCTGGGGTGAGCATGCGCGCTGGTCGCCGGAATGCCCTTATCTTCTCAATACCAAGGGAAGAGACTTCGTTCGATTAGAGCAGCTACGTGACACGGACCCAGTTCAGGTAAAATATCATGTTTTAAATAATATATTAAGTTCAATGAGATAAATTTAAGAAATAAAATAGGTAAAAAAGAAACATTTTATCATAAAACTTAATGTCAAATTACTAGTACAACAAAATATTCCAGGCTTTGGAAACTCAAAGAATATTTTATCAAAAATTGTAAGAGCTTCATCTTAAATATTATATTTTTGGTTTGTTATTACTCAATCTGAAATCGTTACATGTATTTATTAATTCTAGATTTAGGAGAGAAAGGTTTCGTAGTGGCGAATGTGTGTTTATGAAATCTTGACTAATTGTACTAAATATATATAGATATGTAATTGATATATTCATCATATCTTCTAATTTTAACAGTATATTGCTGAGAAAACGCAAGCTGTACAGGTGACGCAAAATCGACCAGCTGTTAAAAGTAGGAATATACTAGTAACTGTTTTATCATTATACTCTCTATTTTAATTTAATGATACATGTAGATACAAATGTGTTGAAAAAACGATAGTTATACTTGTAATTTTGATCAATAAAGCCAATCATGACAGCCGTAAACAATTAATAATTAAAGTTTCAATGTTAAAAATCCTTATTTACCAATGGTAATTGCTTATAAATTTCCATTTTCTAAATATATTACTTTTTGTAGGTTCTGAAAATGACACTTGGAATAATCCGGCAGTAGAAAGTTTACTTCAGAACGGATATGGGAAGGAAATGGTTCATAAAGCCATTTTCTTGTTTCGTAAACAGAGAGGGGGTAATTGCATATTAAAATCTTATATGTGTTCAATCTGAATCTTGTGTTTTAAGTCTTTATTTCATTCTTGGATTCGTACAGATGTATTGTAAAAATATTTCTATACTAGTATAATTGAATAAAGGATTCACAAGCAAAAAAGCAATAAACTATTTTTCTTTTGAAAAATTGCAGTTAGATTTAAATTACAGGTGTCTCATTTTAACACTTGATTCTTTTTTCAGCAGAAAGATTAAAGTATTTTCTGACATTTAGATTTTATTAAAAATGCAGGAAATTTTTGATGATTTAAATGTATATATTAATATTTCCATAGAAAATGCGCCTTTATCGGCAGCAGAACTTCTCAACATAATTTTCGACTTGGAAGAGGACACTGTTGTTTGTGATGATGTTGAAAAGAAAGGTTTGTGTTTTCTTCCATTTCAAATTTTTTCTCGATATATCAAAAGAATGAACTATTTTTCATCAATTTAAACAAAATTTATAAACAGAAGCTGAACTCCAGAGAGATTTGATTCGAAAAGAGAACGAAGAGTTACGGAAGTCGACTTACTGCCGGAAGTGTTCCACACAACTCGTCTCTGTGGTGTTTCTACCCTGCGGACATCTCTGCACTTGTACTGACTGTGCACCGTCAGTCAAGAATTGTTTAATGTGTGGCGCTTTCATAAAAGGCACCATACGCACATACTTGGTGTAAAAACACATTTAGCAGTTGCAGTTGAAAATGCTTTACATGTAACAATTCAGAATCCGAGGATTCATATGGGCAGCGGAAAGGGCAAAAATTACCATTATGAGAAAACAAACAATTATTTTAATTTCAAAGTCCATAAAAACTTAACAAATGATATACAATGCATAATCAACAGACATTTTCGCAGAACAAATATACATTAAAGCAAAACCAACGACCAAGTACGTAACAAACATATATGAATGCAAAACCAACGATCATCTTTGCAGAACAAACGTACATAAAAACACGACAAACGAAAAAAACTTAACAAACGTGCACGCGGTAAATCTAGTCTTCCCGACACCTGGCTCACGACGGTCCCGGATTTTTTTTTTTTTTTTTTGGCGATTTTTTTGTCGGTGCACAGAAACTCTTTATACTTCTCAGGCACATTTCTGGGTTTAAAAAAAAATCATATACATATACTAACTGTAACAAAATTGTGTATTTATTACTGAATCAGCAGTATCATCCGCCAAAAAGCGGTAAATGTAGTACTCCGTTATAAATGCGAAAACCACTGAAAAAAGGATACGGATGTTTTCGTAGGATCGCGATTAAAAACAACAAACTGAGGTATATTTTTTTAAATAAATGAAAACCTTCATTTACATGCCAGATAATTTGTATGCACAAAAATTCCTCACACATTTTTTTTTCGCATAGAACTCGATGCCATATCATGTTTATGTTCCCTGGCTCTACAACATGGACGTGGCTCTACCACGGATCCCCCTTTAATTTTTCCTTTTTTTGGATAATTTATCTTAAAAATTTCAAATGAAAGAAAAGAATTTACAAAAAATGAAAAAAAAATCATTCTCCTGAAGGCCGTTTTAACATTTTTTTTTCGTTGTTGTTACATAAAATGGTTTTCCCCAATTCTTTAAATATTACAAGAATCTATTATGATTACTTTTAATTACAGTGACATGTCATTTGACAGACACGCAGCAACATTTCAAAAATTTAAGAGTAAGGTCCCAAAAAAAAAAACCACCCTAACATACCAACAATCACACACACGAAATAGGATTTTCGAATTTGGGCTATATCATTTTAGTTTCCTTTTTGTTTTTGCTTGTCAAGGTTTTAAAATCTTTTTTCAGCTAGATTGAAATTTTTTCTCTGGTTGCCCCCCCCCTCCTTTCAAAAACAATGCTACGTCAATGTATAACAATGCAATACTTTCATTTTGCATGGTTTTACCATAAGTACAATGTTAGATTTAACTATTTTTATGAAAATTTTGATAAAAATCTTTTTTGAAATCAAATCATTTTGATGTTATGAATTTTTATAGAATTCAAATGTTCATTTTTTTTTTAATTAACACCACCAATTTCTACTAAAATACTAATTCCATCTTTTCCTAAGTATTAAGAATAAAATTAAAATTTGTGAGAGTGCTAGGATGTGTCAATCAAACCTGTCTAAAAATTTGAAGTTTTAATAGCTTTTAGATGAAATAAGATTTTTAATATATTTTTGTGTGAAATGCTATTAAATATATATATGTCGTACCACTATACAGAAAATATTACCTTCAAATCTGTATCCATGCACCTTTAATATCTACGACACCTTACGTCTCTCTGTATCGATGTCCCTTTTTGGTTTTCTTATTTATAACGGAGTACTACATATATTTACCGCTTTTTGGCTCCAGGTGATACTGCTGATTCAGTAATAAATACACAAATTTGTTTAAGTTTTTACATATCATTGAATTCATTTCAAAACTAATTTTTCTGAAAAGTTTGAAGAGTTTCTGTGCATCGACACAAAAGAAATCGCCAAATAAAAAAAAATCGCCAAAAAAAAAAAAAAAAAAAAAAAAAAAAAATCGCCAAAAAAAAAAATCCGGGACCGCCTGGAGCCGGGTGTCGGGAAGACTAGATTTACCGCGTGCACGTTTGTTAAGTTTTTTTCGTTTGTCGTGTTTTTATGTACGTTTGTTCTGCAAAGATGATCGTTGGTTTTGCATTCATATATGTTTGTTACGTACGTGGTCGTTGGTTTTGCCTTAATGTATATTTGTTCTGCGAAAATGTCTGTTGATTATGCTTTGTATATCATTTGTAAAGTTTTTATGGTCATTGAAATTAAAATAATTGTTTGTTTTCTCATAATGGTAATTTTTGCCCTTTCCGCTGCCCATAGTTTCAGTCTGATAGAATATTATCATCCATGTTTGTTTAAGTACTGTGCTTATGCCTGGATCTCTATCGTATTGAGATAAAAAAAATTATTGATTAAAACTTGTATATAATTATTGGTTTTATATGTTAGGAAAAGAACACAGAGGTGATTAACAGGTTAGGCATTTTCTCCGAGAAGACAGGAAAATGGATTTCAGATAGCATCATCATAGCACTGATTTTACAGTTATTACTTCTATTTACTTTTTCATAGTTCTTGTGATAAGGAAGAATTTTTTTCCTATTACTTACTTTTGAGATGTGCCAATGAAGATGGGTGAACAAGGCGGGCAGAATGCCTATAGCGTCAGATAGTAAGAAATCGTATTCAGTATGTGAATTGAGTATTTCAATTAACTTCTTTTTATTGAAATTTTTGAAATTATGAGAAAAAAACTTCTGAGAGAAAAAAAAAAATCGTAAAAAAAATTTCTTTCATAAAATGAATAGATGGTATTCGTGGGATTCGAACCCAAGCAATAAAAATCCGACGTATCAGTAGCATACTGCTTTGAGACTAACGCGTTAACCACTATGCTACACCACTCATGCTGATTTTTTGGCATTTAAATCATGTTTGTGATATGACCTGCGACTTAATGGACTTGAAGTATTTCTCGGAAAGATACTAATGTTGTGTCAGAAAATTGTACTTTTAAGGTATAATGGGTGTTCGCTCCATGTTTTTGAAAACCAAAAAATGTGTATTTTATAGCACACTTTTAGGATCATCTTTCAAAAAAAACGGAGAGAAGACCCACCCATGTTGAAAAATTTTGTTGAAGTATGAGAAAATGGTTGTTTTTGTTCTTTTTAGTGTGTGTAAGCTTTTTCATAGGCAAATATTTTCAGTCTTTGTGAGAGTTTTGTAAATTGTGGAGATTTTACATAAAGTATACTTTAATATTAGATGAAATATTAAATAATATTTGGCACTATAGGCACTTCGCCCGCCTTATTCCCCCATCTTATTTGCTTTCAGAAGTTTTAACTAAATATTTTAGTTTTCTAGAGAGATTTGTTTCTTTGCATATATTTCATCATAATGTTAACTTAGAAATGTATGTGCTTTTTATGTTTTAGTATATTTTACTATCCATAAAGTCTATCTATTTAAAACATTATACAGCTCTTACAATTTTTGCATCCTATTACAGTTTATATAAATATTTTTTTTATTTTAGCATATATACAATTTTAACTGTAAAGTTATGTTTGGCACTTTCACCATAGATACAGTTGAATGGATGTTTATTTTTAATGTAAGCACTTTGAAATTATTCTTTCTGTATTTCACGATGTATATCAATCAATTACTTTGTCAAGTATTTAAAACGTCTACTTAATACTTCCTTTATATCAAAATTGTGGTATTCCCTCTTAGTAGATTTAGACTAAGTGGACATAAATTTGCTGTGATGTTTGCAATGCGGGTGATCGAGGATGAAATTCATTTTTCTTCTTTACGGTCAATCTTATTATAAGCTTAGAAACAAATACACATAACAAAGAAAAAATATTAATCTTGACAAGGAAAGATATACTAGTAGGTTCCAATGATATGTATACAGTGATGTAACTAAAGTCTTGAAAGTAATTTTGATATTTATTAGAGACTTTTTGAACATAGAAGTCAATTACTTGACACTTCATTAAAATTACGTAAACAATATTTGATGATATTCAGTTGACCTTTGCTATTTATCGTAATTGTGTTTGTGCCAATAAAATATTTGTATTTGTAATCAATGACTAACCAATTTTATTTTAGAAAAAAATGTTCTCAACATGAATTGGAGTTGTTTTAATTAAACCGAATACTACGAAAGCCCAGAAGGCTCATTCGAGATTCAAGTTTCGAAATACGAGATTCAAATTTCGAGATTCGAAATTCGAGTTTCGAGATTCAAGATCCAGATTAACCAATCAAAAGGCTCATTCGAGATTCGAGGTTCGAAATACGAGATTCGAAATTCGAGTTTCGAGATTCAAAATCCAGATTAACCAATCAAATGCGGGTTCAACATTTGATTACTCCCCTTTATTATGTTTTATCTATCAAGAAATCGTTTAATATATTTATAACAAATGAGTCATTTGATTAAATTACAATGCAAGAAAGAGTGTTATATATATTAGAAGGAAAGTTAAATAATCATTGGATTTTTTATCAACAAGATATACTTCAATTTATATTATGACTTCTTAAATATTAAATAGAATACATATATCAGGAATATATATATTTTTTTGCATTGTCTACTTTATATAAAGGGTTGTTGATATAATAATAAATTTATAAATAGTGACTAAAGATTGACAAAATCCTCACCCCTACCCGCCACACCTGCCAATTTTTCCCGACACTGAAAATGTTACTTTAAAAACTTGAAAGGCATTATAGCCTTGATAAATAAAAACCGTGTTCGTTTTCCTAATAGAGGGAATACTCAGTACATAAAAATAAAGTTTTCAATTACTTATCTTCATCTAAGGCTTTGATTTCTTGAATTAATTAACAATTATATATATACAATACAGATTGCAAATATGAATAGGAATAAATGCAGCATTCATTTTATCTGATATCAAACAGTAGATTAGTCTAAATTACCTGCAGAACTATAGCGTTATGGTTTTATATTTAAGTCTCTGCATGACCATAGCGTTATGGTCAAAGATTAAAATATACTCAGTTTTTATTTATCAAGGCTACATTGCCTTTTGAAGTTTTTAAAGTAACATTTTCAGTGTCGGGAAAAATTGGCAGGTGTGGCGGGTAGGGGTGGGGATTTTGTTAATCTTTA